ACATTTAGGCTCTGATGTCTCTAAACTGCCCACATGTATGTTTGAGAGCCTTATTCTGGCTGGTTAAGCAGCTGGAAGATGACAGGATTACATTGAGTTTTCTTAGTTGGTACTAACTTGTATAAAACACTTCATACATTTCACCACAACCCTGTCCTGGACAAGCAGTATAGAAAATAGATGGGTGAGAAATTTAAGAGTAAAAAAAGCACAGTAATTTATCTTGTTTTGGGGACAGAGTTCTCCAAGGGGACCTAAATCCATCAACCTGAAATTAAGCATTTTGTATTTGTAACTGCTGTAGCTTAACAGGTAGAGTATCGTGCTAATACCACAGGTTGTGGGTTGAAATCCTAGGACATGTGAATTCCTATTATCTCCACAGTTACTTAAAAAGTAACATTAAATAAGGTCTTTTTTCATCTGCTTCTATCTCATGGTATCCTGCCTAACTCAATGCAACAGCGGCCAGACGTTTTTCACTAAGCCAGTGTTGTGACTGTCATCTCTTTGAAAAAGAGGCCCTAAGTATTGGTTCAGCCTCGTTTGGATTCTTTGCTATGGCTGCAGCAGGAGGCACCGTTTCTTGGAAGAGCCGCCAAATTCTACAGTGCGGTTCCCGTCCAGACCGAGGAGGGCTTCATCAGCCACACCGCTAACAGCCCCGACGGCGTGCAGCACTGACCGGACTCGGCTCCCAGGTACAGCTGACCCAGCAGGCCGTGGGCCGAGGCCAGCAGGCAGTGCATCTGATTGGCCCAGGCCTCGGCCCTGCGACTGCCGCCTCCTCGCTCCAGGACGCCACCTAGGCAAGGTAGCCGGCCGTAGCACTCGCATGCCACCTTGTCAGGAGGGACAGAGAAAAGGAGGGAAAAATGAAAGAGGAAACAGGGCACATGAAAATGATATTTAAAATTTAAAAAGAGTAAAAATAACACAAAAAAAAACAAGGAAAGACCAAGCCTCAACAGAACAATTCACTCACCTCCTGCATTCTAGGGTTGTCAGAATCCATCTTCGACAGGAAATAGGCACCAAGTTTATCCTGTTAGAAAAAACAAAGACTGTGTGTAAAAGTATGGTTGCCACATAGAAAATATAAACTACATCCAGGTCATAAAAAAAATACATACTCTCAAAGATCCGCAAGCTCTTGGGTAGAAAGTCATACATGCCTTCATCCCCTCCATGGCCACAAGGTGGCACTGTAACAAACAAAAACACACTGTTCAGCGTGCAAACAGGTTTTTTTTTTTTTTTCCCACCAAGCCTGCTGTCCTGAGCACAATCTGCCCCATTCTTGATGTTTAATATGAACACTGTGCTGACTTTGGATGTCCTGATTTTATCTGTTTCAGTGGTAGCAATTCCTGTGTGCCATATACCCATAAATTGACAGGACTTGTCTATTCTGTTCACATTAAAAGGTGTGGCTCTTAGATGCATTTTTTAAGAGCATTGCACTGCATTTTCGAACAGAAGTTTGACCTTCAGATTTTACCTCCAACTTGAGGCTTAGCAGTGAGGTTAGGATCCCCAGGACTGAGTTGAGTCCAACCTCCCTTGCAAGCTCAGGCAGCTGGGAGGAGTACTGCAGCAGATCCTGGAGAATCGCAACAGCCAGCTGGACAGAGGGCAGGGGAGCCTGGGACTGAAGAGAGCCAGACACCACACAAAACAGTGGCATTTATATGAACGAACAGGAAGAGCAGGAGTCACGGCAAACCAGTAGCACAGCACCAGACAACCTGTCAGCTCCATCCAGTACCCAGGCAAGCCCTTGCTACATGGGCATGCTCAGACAAAGATCTTATCTACCAGAAGAGACATTAACTTCCAGAAGCATGTAAACAGATTTGATCATGTAACGTAACCTGCATTCCCCGAAACTGTTTTCTGCTGCACGCACGCACACACACAGACACACACACACACACACACAATTCAGTCGAGATAGTTGAAGCTTTGGTTTTCAGATGTTGTACAGGTGTGAGCTTCAGGTATGGGATTCTGAGAATTTCATGGAAACCTGCTGCGCAGAATCCACATGGTCACGTGTTTTCCCCATAAATCTTTCCCATTTTTCCTCACCTACGCAGTACTGGGTATTAAAAAAATAAAATACATGCTGAGGTTTCTATGGCAAACACCTGCACTACCTGTATGTACATACATACGTATCGTGCAGAGCCCACATGGTCATATTTTTCCCCCTATAAATCTTTCCAGTTTTTCCTCACCTAAGCACTAATGGATATAAAAAAAAACACCACATACAAAGGTTTCTATGGCAAATATCTGTATGTACATACATACATACATATACTTCATGTTGCCAATAGCAAGGTCCAATTGCAAATATATACGACCCAACAATAAATGACATGGCGGCGTGGTGGCTCAAAGGGTAGCAATGCAAGCTCACGACTCTTGGGGTTGGGGATTCAAAATCTACTTCGCATGTTCTCCCTGTTCTGCAAAAGTTCCTGCCAGGGACATCAGCAGTGTGGTCCAAAGACACACATTTAGGCTCTGATGTCTCTAAACTACCCACATGTATGTTTGAGAGCCTTATTCTGGCTGGTTAAGCAGCTGGAAGATGACAGGATTACATGGATATATTGGGTAACCAAACGAACATTCAGAGACATTGTAACAACGCACAAAATGTTCTGAAACCTAACATTTGTATCACACAGTTTATTCAGGATTTGTTGCAGACATTTTCTGATTTTGTTCAGCCTGACAGCAGGGCTACAGGATGCCATGGCATTTTGGGCCCAGGCCATTATGGTTCTGGTTTCTGCTAAGCTCTTCATCAGTCAGCCCTGATTAAGCTCTGGGCTGAAGTAACTGTTCAGAAAGCCAATAACACTGAAAGCATTAGACCGAAGATGTCATTTTAATTTGTAGTAAAAACATAGGAGCTGATGAATACAATAAAAACAGCAAGCTTAAAAAAAAGCATACTTTCAAAAATACAGGCATACGGATTTTCCTCCATCCATCCATCCATCCTGCTTATTCAGTATAGGGTCACAGGAAAGGCCTGGAGCCTAATCCAGGAAGCACAGGACAGAAGGTAGAGAACATCCTGGATGGCAAGACCTTCACAGGGGTGTGAACTACATACACAGAAAATCAAGTTATAGACCCAACCATTTTCCTAACCGGCTTGTCCAACATAGGGCTGCGGGACCCTATCGTGGAAGCCACCAGCACAAGGCAGGAAATAACCCAGAACGGGGCATCACCCCATGGCGGGACGGATGGACGGACGGACTGATGGACGCACACACACACACACACACACAATTTGGCGACTTCAATTCAATTGGCAATTTCTTGGACTGTGGAGGAAAAGCAGAAAACTGAGGAAACCTCATGGGAACATAGGGAGAAGATGCAAACAGCAGACAGGCAGAGCCGTGCGGAGACTCAAATCCTGATAAGGGAAAGGTGCTAACCAGCGTGCCACCATACTGCACCAAGGTACAGACTCAAATTCTCTTTAAAAAGTACTATAAGGAAAAAAAGAATATCAGCACAAACCCTATGCAAACGCCACATGGAGCCAGGTGTGGCCCTAGAGATGCAACACCCCAGTGCTATACCCCCCCGCTATATGAACAATTAAAGAATTCTATCATTTCAAATAAATTATTAATTTTTCATAAAGAAAGGAAGCTGGCAGTTACTTCTCCACCCCATTTTCATATTCTCATCCTCGACAAATAGAAATCGGGAAATAAACCATCAACAAAAATGTCTGGATTGACTTAAATTAGAGCGGTCGCCTCACACCTCTGGAGACAAGGGTTCAGCTCCCTCCTCCAACCATGTGCGTAGAGTTCGCATGCCCTCTGGTCCCTCCCCCAGTTGAAAAAACATACTAAGGTGACCTGGAGTTGCCGAATTGTGCATAGGCATGAATGGCGTGGCTTGCGATGCCTCGGCGCCCTGTCCTGGCTGATTCCCTGCCCTGCGCCCCTCATTTTCGGATTAGGCTCCGGACCCCCGTGACCCAGAAATGGACACGCAGAACAATGAATGAATGGCTTAAATTATGCAAATCCATTCAGTGAACAGATAGTTCAGGCTAACTGAACAAAAGCTCAACGGGTACTAACAGACACACTACCCACTATCCTTGCCCAGTACGGAATCTCCCACCGCTCGTTAGATGCAGCCCTAAGCATAACAGCATTTGGTTTATTTCTGCAGCTTGAACAATGCTTCAAATTTTCAATAAGACTTTTATTACAATTCAGCAGGATGGGTGGACTTGATGAAGCCGATCAAACCAGTTATGATTTACATCGTCTACCAGGAAGAAATGGCCAGTCAGCACAGACTGCATGACTACTTTAGGGGGAAACATGCCGGCGTGAGGGACAGCTCACCTGTATGACCTGCTGCAGTGACCGCAGCCAGGAGAGGCAATGCTGCTGGAAAACATCACTGGAGCTGTCCTTCACCAGCACTGCCAGCAAGCACAAGCCCTCAAACCTGTCACATGCACAGAAACACACACCCATTGAAGGTTATATTTGTCACCAATTCCCAAGCAAATAGAAAACTGTACTTGAACACACTAAACAGTCATAAGCAAAAAAAAAAAGGGGGGAAGTCAAGCACTGGATGACCAATGCTCCATTATTCTCTTATTCCCAGGAGTGTCACTGGAGATTTATGAAGGGGGGGGGGGGATGAGCCTTTAGTAGGGGGGGTCTCATCTTAATGAAAATTAAGAACACGCCATTTAAACTAATTAGTATGGGGGCTAAAGCAGCCTAGCGACACCCTTACTTTCTCCAAACCTCAAGACAATAAAGTAGGCAAGACATCAATAACGGCTGTTTATCTTAAATCAAACAACTTAAGATTCTACAAGACAACACTGAAAAAAGCTAAAGAATTATGACATACTATAGATAGTTTAGGGCATTTTTAGAGGAAAACAAACTATCCAAAGGCATTAAGTATCATTCAGTATAATACATACTACTGTTACTTAGGCTGACACACACTCTGTTTTGAGGCAAAATCTAACCTGGTTTTGCTTGAGCCCAGTCGACCATTGCTGAGCCCAATAAGTCCGCCAACCGCTGTTGAATTCTTAAACAGACATAAAACATATATGAAACACACAGTATCATGACAATTTAAACGAATACATGTGTGCACGGTATGCATGCAACCTAGCGAAATACTGCAAATAACGATTAAAAATGGGGTGAATTACTTAGTGGTATACATATTTTATATATACATATTTTCAAATATACTGTTAAGTGAGGGAAAACTAATTTTCCAACTACATCGAGAATACCTATCTTAGTTCACTGACTTACTACATAGTTGCACGGTAACGGCAACAAAACTCATTACTATAAATTGTGCAAACTATCAAAATAATAGTACAACATTACCAAGGAACGTTGAATCAGAAAACAAAAGGGCACGAAAATAATACAATGACACTTTACGAACAACCATACACATCTGCAAATAAAGTGCAGAAACCAGCTCTCAGGAGAATCAATATCCAGATCCAAAAAAAAAATCACAAAGACAGCACACCACCCCACGGAGCCACGAGAAATGGAGCGCAACAATTACAACATATTAAAAGATGATACCTGTGAGGAGACCACGCCATGCTCCCGGTAGTTTGCCAAAAGAGCTGGCAGGTACTCCGGCCGTTCTTCCTTCAAAACGGACACCAATCCCTCGGTCAGCCGCATATTAGTTGAAACATGCAGCCAAACCGCAGTGGCCATGTTTCCACTTTGCCTTGCTGTTACGTCTAAATTCCTCGACACAGAGAAACGTCACTAACTTGCGACCGCCCGTAAGCACGGGGGGCCCACTTACGTACGTGCACGTCTTTTCATATACGGCATCAGCCTCAGTCTAATCAAGAGCTGACATGGTACCCTGTACGTAGGTTTATTTTTAATCAAAATGCCACACTTGTTTAAAAACTGAGGATGTGCTTAAGAGTTAACACTCACTTCTTCTAACCACGGTACCGGCTACAACGTATTTATAACTTATTATGAATTTTAATTATCCGGTACCATTTTTCAAGTGTGTGGTTACCTGTCTTTTTTTACCTCATGGTATGGTAGTGATTACTAACAACTAAGGTAATAAGCATCTTCTATGTCACTCTATGCTATATAATTACTACATTAGGTGTATTTAGTATCATGTCATGAATATCCAACAAAAAGACAGGCCATTATAGTAACAACTCTTTAGGTTTAATTGGGACAAAACTGTATTTGAATATTCATGAACAATTTTTATTTAGTAGAAACATAAATAGTTCATGAAGCATGCACCAGAGTGTATATCATCCATTTAAATTCAACATTGGCAACATTTTTCAGTGTTGAAAAAGCTGATTCAGCACTGTTGAACTTTCATAGTCAAAAAAAACATCAAGTCTCTCTTGGGGTTTGAGGATTGGCCATTGTGCTTCCCACAGCAGTGTTACCTGCATTTCAAAGAACTCCCACTGAGATGCGCTCTGAACAGGACTGCATTCAAAGCTATGGCACAGTCCCGCTTTCCATTAAAAATGTTGCAATGAAATACTCCACACTCTCAAAACAAATGTAAATGGGGGAAATGCCTTTGGCAGTTATAGTTCGTCTGAGTTGTGACGCATCTCTCACGTCTGTGGATCCAGCAGAACCTCGCAGGTCCGGCCCAGCTCCCCAAGCTTGATGCGAGCATATTCAGCACGGTTTAGTGCCATCTGGCAGTCCTTGCGTGCAGAATATGTAGAGCCTTCATGCGGCTGTCCAGTGGCCACCTGAAGGAGGGGTTAGCGCTTGAATGTTTATACCTCTCAGTTACTGACAAAACTTTCTCTAGAATCCCCTGAAAACTTGTTTCATTTGCCTGTCAAATTCTTGACTTTGGGACAACGAGTGTATATGTGTTCCATGCATGAATAGTTGCTTGTGTATCACAGTTTAAATGTTACTGATCTACCACCAGAAGTAGACAAACGTTCAGGAAGCACAGCAGGCTAAATCTACAGGAAATTTTAAATGGAAAACTAACTCATTTGCAAGCACACTGTGTAAGAAAGGAAGGAAGGACAGGACAGGAAGGAAGAAACCAGCACTGGAATCTATGATATGGCTTAAGTTCTGAGTGTTGGGAATACAAAGCACAAAAAGTAGGGGATAGAAGACATGTGTTTGCCTGTAAGTTTGACCCAGATGCAGAGTTATATCTGTGTGAGAGTGAGGGCACACCTACCTGCGTCAGATAGCGGATTTGAGAGCTTAGCTCACTTTCAACCCTGTTGACAGCACTAGTGAACTGAGCAAGCTGGCGGTCAAGTAGACTAGCATTGTGCTTCTCCTTGGACAGCTCCAGTATAATATTTCCTAAGAACACATATTGCACAGAATAAACAAATTTGTTCTACTGCACTTTGTTAAAAACAGGGGAAAACGTTGTTACACTGTGCTTTCGTAATAATACCTGCCAGTTAGTAACAAAGAAATAAATATTTTTCAAGCACCACTGCTTTCCTTCATCCCTCGAATCTCGTCAAAATTTCAACAACGGTGTGCTGCATTGAACAGCTAAACGGTTCTTTTATTCAGTAATATAGTTCTCTAACATTTTTTTTATTCAGGTGCCACCTCTGCAATATATCAACATACGAACGGAATTAACTAGAATCCTTGTATACTGACCGGCGCATTGCAAAATAACCGCGATCTCCTTCTCCACGTCTTCCAATGCTCGCAATCTGTCGTTCGCCATGCTTAGGCTCCCACTGCTTCCACTACAAAGAACAAGTCAGTCATCTGACCCAAGAACTAATATATGCCTATTAAATTCACGGATGGCTAAAAAGAACGACTAACAACAGGTAAACTACAAAATACACTTTGATTTACCTCCCTAAAATCAATAAGTAAAGTAATAGCTGTGCAAAATGTCGACGCAAAGATAAACATTTTCATATACACTGCCATAGAAAGTCACGTATCAAACTAAGCTATGACGTTAATGTCGTGAAAAGTACGAGCTAAATAGATCTTAGTAAGCTAAATTGTGTAGCTAATCGAGTAGGTAACAGCAAACTAACTATTCTCATATTATAAGCTATTCTTAATAATTTGTTTTTAAATTACTATTTTAACGCAGTCCACGATAACTTAAAATTTGTACACACCTTTCGTGCTTTCAGATTCTTCTACGGCTTTCAGTGTCATGAAAAACGAAACAATGACTCAAACGGAAGCCGTAGAGGGACATAAAAGATTATATCGATCGCAATCGCGGATGTTGAACAGTGTACTGTACGGTGAAGATTAGGGTAGCGAGACAGGAAATGGACACTTAAAAGGTGAGTGATATTCAATAAAAACGTATCAAATTGGAGTTCCATTGACCTGGAGCCTATTCTTGTATATATGACGCACAATTAACTATTCAACCTGGACAGTCCATTACAGGAACAATTGTACATATTTATTAAGGGTATAAATCATCCAAACAGGGTGTATCTGGACTGTATGGAATCCCACATGGGGAGAACATGCTAACTTTGTACACATGGAGCTGGGGTTTTTTTGGCAACTGAAAATCTTTGATGTGTGAGCATTGGCGCAGGAAGACATTTTGAGCTCAGGGTGCCGACTTTAAGGAAGTTCTTTCGTGGCAAAAACTAACAATGGTAGTCTTTTTTGAGAAATAACCATAAAGCTGACTCTGAGCCACAGTGAAAATAAGTAACATAACAGTATGTTTTACTTTGACAAAAACAGTCAGCAATGGCATGCCTCCCGCCATTATTGACCATCAACAACCAGAGAGGTGCTAAAGCATCCTCAGGAGTCCTACTTCCAACACTACTGTGAGGGATAATCATTAGTAAAACTAATGATCAATGGATTAGCCTAAGGGAATAAGACACATTCTCAACTGATACCTGAGAATGGCATGACTGTAGAGGGTCTGAGGGGAAGTTTAATTTGTTTCATCGTGCCTCTACTGGTCTACTTAAAAAATACTTACAGAACACTCCATCCCTCACAAATAGTAATTTAGTGGATTAAAGACTATAGAATTTGCACCAAATCCAGAAAAATGCTTCTGGTAGCTTTTCACTCCTCTTTGATCTTTAGTCTGTAGTGGACCTACCTCCTCCCAGGCCAACCAGGTATGGGTTTGCTATAGTTGTACTCAACACATGAGCACATGAGAATCTCAAAGAGGTGCACAAAATTGACAAAAGCAAATCACATCATATACACAGATATATTCCACAGGCTGAATTAAGGAACACAAATTTAGCTACTGAAGAAATATACAACTACAGATGACAAATATCGGTGCTCTCCATTGTTGACTCCACCAAGACAAGACCAGGCAATGGTGTACACAGAACAGTTTAATGCAGATGGAAGGCACTTGTAGATTATAGTAATTGACTCTCTGGTTTTTAAATTTTTAGCAATGGCACTAATTGCACCAATGGGGGATAAATTGTTTTCCATTTTAGGGCTAGAGAGGTTTGTTCCTACTGCCAACTATGACATGACATGCAAACTGACAGCCTTGAAAAGATGTCAGGTATGAGCAGCGATTTCCAGTCTCTAGCCATTTGGAGTGAAATCTTACATAAGAAGTTTTTCTTTCTTTACAACTGCCATCAGATGATGGACCGGATATCAGCTACTAAAGTTTCATTTCTATCATCACTCAAGGGTACAAAACTGAACTTTTCTCACCTTATTTCATCTTTAGGACTAAATGACATCCGACTGTCTTATATAACTTATCCAGGCAGGGCTGAAGTGAATTTGGAGTCTATCTTAGGATGCATAGGGCATGAAACAGAGCACATGCTGATCAGTATGTAGCAGAGTCCTTCACAGGGCACACACATATACAAGTAAAGAGTAAAGGGCGATTCAGAGTGTCTTCCATTCAGTTGCAAACCCACACGAACACACAGGGGAGCAGCTTATGTAGATCTCACATAAGTGGTGTTAGGTCAAGGTTTTTTGCATATACACTGGTGGTAAAAACAAAACACACCTCACAAGTAAGAGCACACAAAATTAAACACAGACAATTTTGTACGTTAAGATTTTTTCTTTAGACATTTTCTAAAATGCAGTACAAAATAAGGAGGCGACATAAATTTTCCCATGTTTGTCGTTTTTAAAAAACTACTTTTTCCATTTTTGTTCATATTCTTTGACTAAAATAACATATTGCTTTTACAGTTTCTTGGTTTTCTTAATATCAATATAGTTTCTAATTATACTTTATCAGTGATTAAATTACCAGGTAGTAGTTAGACTTCTTTTTTCCCTCTCTCCTTACTCAGGTTTAGTAGTAGTAACTTAAATTGTTCCCCTGAATAAAATAAAATCAGATGAGTTTTACAAAGTGACAGGATTGCTTGTGTCTTCTTAGCAGTTGAGGCTGACAAGTACAAAGATTTACAAAAACAAGCTGAAATGGTTTACAGACAAAATGAGTCAAAACTGCAACCCGATCAAAAGCCCAAAATGTCCGCGCTTTTAGTCAGGTAATCATCCCCCATCACCAACCACCAACACTTTTGCCCCCATAGTAACACAGTGGGAACGCCATACAGTATCGCTGGAGCAGCGCGCAAATGCGGTGCGGGCTGGCATGTAAGTTTGCACACATGTACAGCTAACGTGCAAACCGCATATGGACATGAACAAAGGCGTCAAATGCTGTTAAAACAGCAGACAGTTCTGTTGGGTTACATCAGTGCATGTTTCCACAAAGTTTTATTAGCTGTCAGACACTTTCTCTATTATCCATAAAGCATTAACACCATCCAAGAGGTGAAACGCAACTGAGCATTGTTTTAATTTCTTTCTAAACAAATTGAGATGTCCAAAATGTGCCCATGCTTTTGAAAGAAAAAATGCTGGACAGAGGATGATATTAAAGCTTTATAAATGTATAATTCTTACAGAAAATGACAATATGATCACTGAACATGATGTGGTCAATTGTTTAGATTCGCATTCAACTGTAAACCTGCTACGCTAAGTATGCTTAATATTCACCATGCGAGTGGCTAAACTCTTAGGTTGAACTGAATTGAAGTTTAGTGAGTGTAATCGAGATGCATATTGTCATTTTAAATTCTTGTAATGACAGAAAACATAAAATGACGAAAATAAATTGAAAAACCTTGCCTTACAAGTTCATCACCCACGTATTTAATTGGCTAAAGTTTAACCAACCCATGGAAAATTAAACAAAACTGACTGACAGTAGCTTGCATGGTTTTGTCCTAACAGCTCCCTCAGGCATGATTACGAAAGTGGTCCGAAGCAAAAAAAAAAATCTTCTGGGGCATGAATTGCAGCTAATACCATTTTAGCAAACTGCTGGGGATCGATCAGTCCAACTCTTTCAAGAAAGGAGGGAAAAAAAAAAAGCTTCTTGCATTCGTCCTTACGTCAAGATGATAACACCTGTACTTAGAGTTTCTGTGTGACACCCCATGCACACCTAGCCAAGGTCCCAGAATTCTGGCACCAGTGTGGTCCCCCCCCCCCCCAGAGGTAAGTCCCAGCAGGATGGACGGAGGTAGGAACCTGCTGGCTACTGCACTCTGCATGACTGCTGTGAGCTACACGCCACACTCTCTTAGACTGCAGGATTCCATACACAGAACTGGACTCTGCAGAGGTCAGACCAGCCTTACTTTAAACTTTAATAAAATACACTACCTGTGAACATACAGAAGGGATATTCAGGTTAGTTCATTCTATCCTTTAATAAAAAATAAAATTCTAAAAATTAAAAAAATGGCACCTTTTGTACATCTCTGGTTGTTATAATAGTAATGTAATAAAATTAAAATACATAACAATGACAACAATAAAAGATCTATTTCCCCTCTAAGCTTAAACTTGCGCTCTATTCAGATCCGATTGTTTGCCATAAGATGCATAAGATCGTAAGAGTCAAATCTAAAAACTGCCTACAAAACCCTGAAATGAACCACCGACTGTACTTTTGCTTCCAGGCACCTTTGCGGCAACATGGAGCCCAGAGTCAGGAAGCACCTATACTCAAAACAGCCCTCTCCCATCAAAATCCATCATATACAGATTTATTATACAGCAGCAACTACTCCTCACTCCTGCAAAAAAAAAAGAAAAAAAAAAAGTAAAAATAAAAACCATTTCATTAAGAGTCGTGAAGTGTGGTACAGTGATACACTCCAGGCTGACATGAGGGCAGGCTTACAGAGCGCTACATCACTAACTTGAATGAACTGGATCGATTCTTACTGACGTAAGGGATGGGGTTCTGCTGATTCACTCGTGCATAAATTCACAGCCCTCGTCTCCTTACCATTTTGCAGTGTCTGGATGCGGCTGTGGGAATGCCTCTGCTCAGTAGGAGACAGATCTCATTGTGCATACAGGTGGTCTTTTCATCGGAGCCGTTAGCATATCACCGAGGGCCGATTGAAACGTCAAAGCAGAACTTGTATTAAAACATCAGCCTTTCTTGGAGCTGCTTCATTTTGGCAACGTCCCACCGCATCCAAATCAGGGTAAGAAAAGGAAAACGACACAGCGTTGACATTCACGGCGCCACGGTCATTCGGGAAAAGCACAGAAACCTTGAAGCCCAACTGCGTGCGTGCATGTGCCCGTTGCGCTTGTGTTTTGAAGTCCGCGCGGGATCTGGCATGTTGGCGCCTGCCTCAACCCACGCGCCACGCAAGTACACAGACGTCCTGTAAAGTTACAGGGTAAAAGTGGTTGGTATAAAAATACGAGGACAATTTGTCGTTTTGCGGTCTCACATACACGTCTCTTGCTTTGATTATGTTGAGCTATTAAAAAAAAAAAAAAAAGCAACTCTATACATTAAGTGAGCGGTAAGTAAGTACAGCAGGTATACAGCAGCACACATTTGCCAGACTGCGCACCTGCAATGCGAAAACAGTGATTACATCAAAATGTGGTCTTGGAGTTAAGTTTATGTTAAGGTTAATGAGATAATGTGCAATAACATAAACTGAAAACTTGTATTCCACATTAGTGACTATGTAAAAAAATAAATAAACCAACCCATGTTCTTACACTGGAGTAACATCATGCTTATCATGTAATGACATAGGTATAAATTTCCCACTTAATATGAAGCAGGACATAGAAAAACAAAATGAAAAGAACATGATTTCATCTGACCCAATGGCCCCAGTGTTTTCACTTGCCAATAATGGTCACAGGACCCACATTGTTCCTCTCCATCTCTCTGACACGGTCACTGGTGCAAAGGCCAACCGATCAGCAAAAGTTGTCACAGAAGCAAGAAGGGTTAGAGAGAGGAGAAGGAGCTTTAAAAAATAGACCACACCCACTCTATCTCATTGGCCCACTGGTCTTGCCTATGTCTATACACCCCCACCCCCACCCCCCCACTGGCCCACTGCCCTGCAGGGGGAGGGACCCTCAGCAGAAGTGGTCGTCCTCGTCCTTGTCGTCCTTCATTCCTTTCAGCCGGAGGCGGGCGAAGTCCTCAAACACAAAGTCATCGTCCTGAGAGAAGTTGCTGAGAGAGAGAGAGAGAGAGAGAGCGAGAGAGCGAGAGAGAGAGAAGCGATTATTATTGCTGGTTGTGCAAACACAGGGTGGTGATGAGCCTGTTGTTGCAATGATACTCCTAATACAGTATCAGTCAAAAGTCTGGACACACCTACTGAAAATCAACAACCCTAAGCAATCCTCTAGATTATGTAGAAAGTATCATCTTGCGAACAAGGAAAGAGATGGAGTGCTGTGACAGCTGACCTGGCCCCAATAATCCCCCAATCTGAACCCTACAGAGGTGCTTTGGGATGAACTGGATTGAAGAGTAAGACCAAGGCAGCCAACTTGGGTCCGGAACTTCTGGAATCTCCTTCAGCACTGTTGGAGAAGCATTCCAGGTGGCTACATCTGGAAGCTGGCTGAAGGAATGCCAGGAATCAGCAGTGCTGTCATCGAAGGAAAAGTGGGATATTTTGAAGAGTCTAAAATATTAGATAATTCTGAAATGCGGAACACATCTCGTGGTTGTTGCAATATTTTATATGTATTACTTCATTACTTTTATTAGAAGTTAGCAGAGAAATTCAGAAAAAGGCATTAAAAGCAGGTGTGTCCAGATTTTTGACTGGTACTGTACTTTGAAGATGATATCCATCCTATGACGCATCATTAAAAGCTGGTTCATGAAGGCGAAAGGCACCACAGTCCGGATCAGCACCCTCACGGCAGGCAGCAGCTGAGGTCCAACATCCCAGACGACTGAGACCTCAGATCCACCTCAGATTCAGGACTGACTTAAACTTCTCTGATCCAGCTCATGATCCATAGCAACCAGTCTATGATTACCTCAAGACCAGTCAAGCACATTCGACTTATCTTGTTTCAGTTAGAGACCTTCTACGAAATTAAAACTTCACTTTTGATAAGCGAGCCTAGGTGTCTGCATTATCAACTCCATTATCTAGTGATTTATACATCATAAACCTTTTTTTGCATGTGGCTGGGAATGGTATGAACAAGCTTTGTGTAGCAGTGGAGTAGAGTAGTGGGAGAGGTCACACAGAAATGGAGGATGCTTACTTTGTCTCAAACTCTATCAGGTTGGTGTCCACTGGGGCATCCTGCTCTGGCACAGCTGTAGGGAAAAAACAATGACCTTATTTCCTGTGAGCTGCTTTTGGTAGCAGGAAGATGTGGTTCAGCATTCTCACAATCACAGCTCAAAGTCCACACATTTCTGCTGCTAGATACTGTTTTTTTGCATCTCCACACACTGGCGAGTACAGGCATGGAGAAGTCACCTACCTGACTGAGGTCTGGAGCTGGGCTGGTCTGTAGGTTTGGGGTGCATCAAGACGAAGGGCAGCTCCACAGACACGTCGCTTGAAGGACGACACACAAATGTTAATCTGCAACCTCGCTAACATGGGAACAGAAGGTGACTGTGGTTTTACAAGCTCACCTTGTCACAATGTGGACTTTTTGATGCAGTACGCCTTTTACACAGTGCTAAGTATGTACGTGAGATGATCAGTTACAGAAGCCTAGTCAGCAAACCATTTTGTGGGAATATTCATTTGCATGGCAAAAATACAAAACATACGTGAAAACACTTTATGCACATTAATCTGTGGGTGTCTAGGAACAGCTTTGACTTTCAACACCAGACTGGACGGTCATCACACCATGATCTAATAGCATTCATAACCATCTGGGAGTTTAGCTCCATCAGAAGGGGGAGGGCGGGGGGGCAATTACTACACTGATGAAAGTTGAGCCCAGAATCGATTTCTGGCAAAAGGCTTCTAGTGTTGCACTGCTCAGCTTTGTGGTGGAGGACTGTCGAACATATTTCATGTAAATGGTCGGGCTCTTTGAGAATGTTAAAAAATTAATTTATATTTCTAAATAAAGTGATACTAATATAAACACAAGGATAAGTACCATCGATTGTCTCTTGCTAAAAAGAAACTGCTAGCTAGCCTTGAATGCTGTAACCCCAATGCGCTTGACCCAAATAACTTCAGCGGTTTCTTTCATTTCAGCATAAACTGAAATGGGCACACGCAAAAAAGCTTTCAGTCTGAAACTGTCAATTAACCTAACAAAACAATTAAAAACACTGATATAAAAACCACATTTGGTGTAAAACTCAGAATGTACACCATACTCAATGTGTTCAGGCAGACAGAAAGACTCACCCTCCACGGGACACGACCAGCTTGACTTTGACCCGGTAAGATACCAGGATCCCCAGAACCTCCTTGTTGGACACATCTTTCACACTGTGGATGGTAGGCAAAGTCACATGGGCATCCAGGAGTGTCTACAGGGTACACTCTTTGGTTATAGCTAAACCATGAACCTGGGTAGTGGTTAGTTGGGTAATTATTATTAAATTGTTCTGGCTGGCTGCACAAATAATTAATTTTAGTTTTCTTCTGACCACATTTATGAGGACTCTGAACAATGGTGAAGAGTGAGTGACCACATGGCTAGAAAAGAGGTCTTTAAATTCTCATGTATTGCTTGTAATGTAACGTGACATCACTCTCTCGTGCTGTCAGACTCACATGGTGCTTGAGGCCAGATTGGTGTCCTCGTGTTTCAACTTGCCATCCAGAGCCAGACCCCTCTTCTCACGGTTGTTGCTCAGCGTGGGGGTGAGGGTGTACACTTTGCAGAAGGTGGAACTGGGGGACACCTGGTCACTGTGAACGGCGGTATGGCAGAGACGCACAGATGCTTATATGTACACAAATGCCACAAAATCCATAGGCACACATACGGCTTCCTGTCTCAGCATGAATGTTGTATTAAAAAAAAAAAAAGAATGGAAGGAACCTTTTTTTTTTTTTTAATTACAAAACCCTTCCTGTTCTTCAGAGAGTGCGGAAGCAGGTATAAAGGAATCAAGCTAGAGGAGGGATTCCAGGCTGACAAGGAAAAAAAGCAACATAGGCAGGAACTGCAAGGAAGTATGGAAACCCAAAGGGCCCAAACTCAGGGACAACTGCTCCTTAAGGGGACGGGGGAGGGGCATATATGAATACAGCCCAGGGATAATGCTCAGAGCAAAGTCATTTTAAATGCAACATGCCCAGTGTACTGGAGGGAGGTTGTATATTAAACAGTACATTTGGTGTTTGGGTTTCATTCAGTGTTTGGATACAAGCCTATGGATCAGTGTATGGGGATTATTTGGAATCTGAGTTTATCAGTGGGAGTAATTTGGGGTACTCCAATCTACCATTCTATAACCAGTGGTGCTGGAAAGATCTCTTATGACATAGCAGAAGCAGAAGCCTGAGCCACTGACTAGTACAGATGATGGAAATTATGAAAGGGAGGGGGCCCAATTGACTGCCCAACAGTGGCATAAAAATAGCTAGAAAATTGAGGCAGCTTATTGGCTGAGCTAAAATGGTCATTGTAAATGGCTCTGTGCTTGGTACTGAATGGTAGCCATTAAAATCTTGGACACAACCAACTTTTTTTTTTTTTTTTTTAAAGGTGAGATGGACAGAAGGGGAGGACAGTTAGGAGGAGAGGACACAGCCAAGGGACAGAGGAGGCGGAAGGAGCAGTGGAGACAGGATGAAGACTGAGGAGGACAGGAGGTACTCACTCTGCCTCAACCTGCGCCACAGGGCACTTGTACTGCGCAGTGCTGAACAGGCAGATGTCAGCGTACTGCCGCACTGGGGAGAGAAAGGGGGCAGGGGTGGGGTGCGGGTTACCAGGGCTGGGAATGCCACACACGCACACGTACGCACACGCACGCACACACACGCGCACACACACGCACGCACGCATACACACGCACACACACACCTCCTGTCCATCTAAGTCCATTTTCATTTGTACGGGGGCTCAGCCCTCAGACACACACACACACACTCAGAGGCAAAAATTAACCCGTGTGGAATTTACAAGTCAGAAAAGTCAACCGCAACAGAAAAGGGGATGTGGAATCAGTAGACACAGAGATAAACAGCCTTGCACAATCTTAAGAAAACAAGTTAGAAATTAGACATTTCACAACAGCATGTGACAGACCCAGAAATGAGGCTTGCATGGCCGCTCGCAATATCCTGTACATGAACATAGGAAGTCGCGCAGAAATGCGGCATTGGTTTTTCTTCTCTTCCTTTTTTTTTTTTTTTTTTTTTTTTAAACTTTTGTCCTGTCCGGCAGCTTTAGCAAGCAGAATCATGGTCTGAATGCACTGCTGTGCCAAAAATGTTTGCTTTACCATGAGGGGCTCTATAAACTCTGTAGAGGCCCTTCATGTCGATTGATTTCTTTTATTTATTTATTTATTTATTTCATTTTTAACACGTGAAATATTGCAGTGGCTGAGCTGGCCGAAGAGGAGGGACAGATTAGGATGGGGGGAAAAAAATAAAAATAAAAATAAAAATGAACCCGATATGAGTAAAGTAGAGAACACGATACACAATCTCCAATTTGCTGCACCTGTAAAGGAGGGAAGGAAAAAAAAGGCCAAAGATCAACAGCATCTGAAAGAAGTGCAGAAATGGATAAATTCATGAACACAAACAAAAATAAAAAATGAATTAAGTAACACTGCTATACAAACATACCAAATTGTTGTGTGTGCTTGGAGGGGTGCGTGCAAGTATGTACATGCGTGCTCAACTGTGTAGGCGAGGTGTTCAACATGTTTTCAACATGGAATGTACTAAATAGCGAGGGTGGGAGGCTGCAACCACACCCCACAGGAGCCAGAGGTCGGCGGAGACAGGCCCAGGACGTCCGCAGCCCCCGAAGAGCACGGAGGAGCCGGGGCCCCACGTCCCAATGACAGCCGCACTGTCAGTGGCACTGCTTTCACTGCTACTGGATGTATGTACAGGCATCTTGGGAAAACACGGCACTTAGAGAGGACCCGATTAGAGCAGCCGCTCTTGTAATAAAGAACGGTATTCAAGGATCAGGTAGATGAGAAAGACACGCAAGGCTGCATGGTCAAAGAGACACAGAGTGACGGCGGTAGATGTTCTCAGATATGCTCCAAGTCTGGCCCAGAGTCCCGGGGAGCTTCACGTCGTCTCACTTCGGTTTTCTGCCTCGGCAGTGAGCAGTAAATTGCTGACAATCTGCAGTTAAAGGGGTCCTAACACTTAATGGCCTTTTTGATTCGCCATGGGGAAGGGAGGTGGGGGCTGGGGTGGGGGGGAGAGGTGGTGAATATAACTGAAGGCCCACTTAGACACTCTCTCTCTCTCTCTCTCTCTCTCACACTCACACTCACGGTAAACATATCCTTATGGGGACCGCTCATTCATTTCAATGGGAAAAATGCTAACGCTAACTATGACAACCTTAACCCCTACCCTACCCTAACCATAACCATAAGTAACCAAACAAAATACAAGAGTTTTTGCATTTTTTGTTTTTTCATAGCAGTCACCGATTTTTATAAAACAGAGTTTTCCCTTATGGGGACCAGGAAACCGGTATAAAAAAACAGATATTTATCACATTATGGGGACATTGTGTCTCCATAAGGATAGGTAAACCCACTCTCTCTCACTCACACACACACATACACACACAAACACACACAAACACAAACACAGAAACAAACACAGAAACGCTTCCTTACCGGAGATTTTGACTCGTTTGACAGTTTTGGTGGAGTTGTTAGTGACGTGGACGTTCACGCTGATTGGCTCCCCATGGTAGTAGAGCTGGTTGATGGAAAGACACGACCTGAGAAAATGCCCCCAGACACAGGCGGGCACGGCACAGGCGTTCGGTAAACACGAATCACGTTACCTCCTTGTCCAGAGAGGCCTCAAGGTGCAGGGAGCGGTCAGACATGAGGAAGCTGCGCGTGGTCTCTGCCGTGGGCTGAGGGCCGGGTATCTCCGGGGCATACTGCACCTTCCTGATAACCAGCCTCACAGAGTTCCTGCAACAAGAGCGCATGAACGCACGCACACACACCAGCGTAAGCGTAACCTTATTTTTCACTTTGATGTTTCTGGAGAGACACATTTAACTGAATAAGCAATAAATCAGGCCAGGAGTTTGGGTAGGAACTGATTCTATTGAAAGCAGGTTTGCTCTTGTATGGATGCACACAAATGCAAATTCATGCATCCAGCGTACTCGTGCATGCGCTTGTATATGTACAAATACAGATGCACGCAGCACAGAAACAGAACAGAACCCGAACTTCCCCCATACTCATGCGTAATTCATAAAACTTAACATTTTAAAGACATTTTAAAAAGCAACCCCCCAGGTAAATGCAGCCTGGCTTTCCCACACCCCCCCCCCCTAATTTCCATTGTATTTCCACTACCGTAAGAGCAGGAACAGAAATTGCCCACCTTTTGTGGATCTTCTCCTCCACTGATTTGGCACAGAAGGCTCTGACTTCAAAGTCCACACCACAGGCCTGGGGGCACCGAGCAGCAAATCGCAGGTGTGAGCGAAGCGGAGGACCAGGGAAACCCGTAGCAGGACATGTGGTGTGTGTGACAGCCCATGGTGTGTGAAGCATGAGGGTTTGGCAATATCAAAAAAAAGATATACATTCTACAACACTGTGCGAAAGTCTTAGTCAAAAGGAAATGTTCACAGCTATTTATCTAAGTAGTAAAGGTATGTGCACTCAGAACAAAAACACAATTTAACATTAGAACATATGAGAATTAAGAGTATCACAACAAAAACTAACAAGAATTTCCTCTGTTCCCCAAAAATTTACTGAAAACATGTTGGATGGTTAGATCAACACTGCTTCAGTTCCCAAACCTCTCCACAGGAGCAGCCCCAGCCATTCCGTGTATTTGCTACATTTCACATCCAGCGCAATTACTTAATCAATTTAATTCATTTAAGAAAGTCCGTGTGGTATGGATTAGCCATACGAGAAGGGGTACGGGTCGAGTCAAAAGAAACATATAGGTGTACTGGATCGTCGTTGCAAATACTGGGGTGATTGTATGTAGGTTTTGAAATGACTAAGCTGACACACTTTGACAGACACATCATCATAGTTTTACACCAAAATGAAAATCAATTGGGCATCATTATCTTAGGAAACCTCACACTTTCGCACAGTACTGTACACAAAACCCAGCACACTAATTCCAGGTAACTGTGCCATCGCCCTCCATGTCCAGGTGTGCGTGACGTATGTAAGTGTGCGCAGACTGCATCCAATTACCTTGCCTGTGTCCTCAGGTCCAGGCTGCAGAGTGACGGAGCAGGGCAAGTTCTGGGGAATCTGGGACAGAGAGACACAAGGGTGAGTCCGCCGCTCACAGAACATCCGCGCACGCGCGACACAAGCCTGGCTGACGCGCAACCGAACATCCAGCTTCGGTTAATGACGTTCATACCCGCATAACACAAGTGATGCGAGCTAGTCGGCAGAGCGTGGGTATGACAGTACCGCACGTCATGAGCGGGAAGCACAGGGCGTAACAGAAATGGATGTTTCGCTTGTTTAGGATCTGATAGCATGGCTGAAGAGGATGGAGACCACACGTTGTGGTGGGGGGGTGGGGGGAGGTGAAGTGCAGGTGCAAGTCTGTGGGACGGCAGAGACTCACAGTGAAGTAGAAGGGATAGGCGTGCTGGCCAAGCTTCTTCAGCAACCTCTCCTGAAGACGGCTGTAGGGCTTCCGCTCCTCGGGCAGAGGTGGGTAGGCCTGGAAGGTGGAGATGTACAGGTCCTTCCTGAAGGACAGGCCCAGCACGTCCAGGTCCTCGCGGCCGTACCGGAACGCACAGGTCAGCGTCACGAACACTGGGGTGGGGGGCAGGGGGAGCAGGAGAAACGCAGGGGAAGAGGGCAACGGGAGCGGGAGAGAGTCAGCCTATTTCTGGCGAACCGTGAACGACACCGATGAAGGAGAAGAAGAAAAAACAGGACTGGTCCTGTTTGGCGTAGAAATCGGGAAGTAAGCATCATACCTTTTCTGTCTTTCAGGTATTCCGGATCGATCAGCAGCACGCCATCTGTGGAAGACGGGAGACTCTGAACGGCTAAGACCGGATACGCGGGCACCAGGTGCTTTGGGTAATCGTGAGCCTGAAGGCACACGACGGGTAAAGCAGGGCAACCTCCTCATCCCTACCGATTCACTCTATCCCAGCTGTGTTTGGCAAATAAGCTCCTTCTAGTGAAAGTTCCCCGCGGGAAGGTTCCCAGCGTTTCTCGGTGAGGTTCAGTGGGAGGCCTTCGGCTCGCACCATTCGCTGTTACCGTATGAGCGATCGTGAAAGCTGGCAGTTCCCCAATGCTAAACACCTCATGGCCCTCATTAGTGAGGTTTCTAACTCCATCCCCCCACCTCATACGTCTGCTGGGACCCATCTCCATGGCAAGGCAGAGGCAGTTCTAAGGTTGGATTTTAGTCAGACAACAAACATCGATGGTGTTTCCTTACAATACGGATCACATTGACCAGTGGTGGCCCAGTTATTGCCCCGAATAAGCAGTGACCCGGCAATCCTGCCGTCAAGCCCCAGTCAGAAACTTACCAACTGGGTCCACATGGTCCAGATGGTCGACAAAGTCTCTCTTGCCCAGGTAGACCGTTAGCTGTAGAGGAAGAGACACCATCACTGGTCTGAGAAGGTAATGCAAACAGACTAACTCATCCACAGCTATATCCAACCCAGTTACCCCACTGTGACTCCACACTGACCCCAAGACTCTCCACTCCCTTCCTGAAGGCAACAGTGCTGAGCTTCATGTCGCAGCGTATGTCGTCCATGGACAAAGCACCATCCATCACCCTCTCTCTCACACGGGCACACACACGGGCAGCAGAGGGAAGGCAAAGGTGTACAGAGCAGGAGAACACAACAGGAAAACAAAGACAGGGGTGCATACACGTGTGCAAACACACGCTCAAAAGCACACCAAGCACGGGAAATAAGGGAACGGAGAAGAAAACAAACAGGAGAGCGAAAAAAAAACAAAAAAATAAGCTAGCAGAGAGAAAACCAGAGAGAGAAAGCGTGGTTGGATATCCACAAATCTGTTTCTTCATCCAGAAGGAAAGAGGAAGTGGGAAAGAGGAGGGAGACCGACAGACCCACAGGAATGAATCTGTCCATGGAGACGCAGACACGCTGCCATGCCTTCTGCTGAAGGCGTGTGAACTGAAAGCCACACACACACACACACACACACACACACACACAAACAGACAGAAAACAAGTATATTAGTACCTTGCAGTTGGGGCTAGACTTCTTGAAGACTCTGTAAGAAAGAACACGTGTGTAAATTGAAGCAAGAGGAGTTTCCATGGTAATCATTCAGCCATTGCTACTGCGCCACAATATGCTCCTCCCGGGTAAAAACGTCAGTGCATATGAAACTAATAACCAGAGAGCCCCACTGCCATTTTAGGACAAAACAGGGCAGAGAAACAAAGGGTTGCTGCTGGGATATCACTCCGGGCATGCTCCTATCTAAGGGCAGGTATCGAAACAAACCAATACAAACGAACCACCACCCCGGCCCCACGTATGGTCCAACAGGGCTGGACAAAAGGACAGAACAGTGGGACGGAAAGAACCAAATACGAGGGTGTGGACGGCCGGCAGGGCGAAGAGAGGGAGAGTGAGAGAAGAGGATAAAAACTCTGTTACACGTATCACTATACTGTAAGTCTCATCTTGGGTCATTCATAAGAGCGAAAGCTGTGGGGGGGAAACAGAGAGCTGGGGGAGTCACAATGACGAGCAGAGTCAGCAGCAGCCAGCAACAGGAAAATGAACAGGCGGGCTGACAGTGAGATGGAGCGTGATAAGTCAGGCTCTTCCTGTCTGTCACCAAGGCCGCAGGACCCTCTATATCCGCAAAGGATTCTTGCCACCAATCACAAACCTTGGTCAGGTGGCTGACAGCTCACGGGCAAAGCTGACACAGGATTTTACGTTTAATGAGGGACTCCCCTCCCTCCAATCATAAACATAAATCCCTAATGCTTAACACCCCCCCACAAACAGTTGATAGTACTAGTTGTAAATCTCCTTAAGATGACTAAGAATCACACCCTCAGGCAGTCAAACCCTCGCCGCGCCTCACACCACACGCGACGTCCCTCACGCTAACGCAGCTGGACGAATGGACCGGCAGCTTGTGCCCCGACTCCGCAGGCCCAAATGACACCACATGGCTCAGTCCGAGACCAGCCAATCAAATCAAGTCGTCACAAAGTGCTTTGAAAAATACTTTCTGGAGGTAATCAAATTTTAAAACAATAAATCCAATTTGCCAATAAGGAGAATTAAACTTGACCGACCCATTCCAAGAAGACTGAAGTAATACACTTGTCTCAAATTGTACAAGCCGCAAACACAACGGCAAAGTGCATTACGTTACATTTAGTTGCTTGGTAGATGGTTTTATCAAAAGCAACTTGTGCATTTACACAATTGGATATATTACTAAAGCAATCCAAGCTAAATACCACGGTCAAGCTATGTAGCATGTCCTTAATCACTGCACTACCTGCTGTCCTGCCCTACTGAAGTGTTCGGAAGGCCTTCCACATTGCCTGGTGACACCGTGTTTGAGGTCATGGTTGAAGAAGAGGGGGAGGGAGGGGGGGAGGGAAGGCACACAGAGAGCAGTCAGGGTGCGGATCATTTCCCAGGATGTCAAAGGTCAATTTACAACTGACATATAAACAGCAACACGACGTGTGCACTTGGGGTGTGATGAGGGTGCTGAAACGTGCCAAGCAGGAGCACCGATTCGCATATGGAAGATGCACGGCTGATGGGCCTCCCACGCACAACGGGTTTTTACAGCAGCAGTCGACCGGCTTCTCACGAGTCAGCAGCAATGTGGCGACTGACGTTCCGGACTTAATCAGAGCCCAGCCGGCTCTGAACCCATTGTACTCAAGTTATAACTCGGCTAAAAAGGCATGCAACCAAATAGGTTTCATTTAGTTGTCATGACAGCTAAATGGGGCTTTATCCTGTTGCTATGGGAACACAAAGAGCAGGCAGAATTATGTTTATTTTACTCAAACTATGCCGGGATGCAAACCATGCTGGTCCTTTAATCACAGTGACACCTGCTTGCTGACATCTACCCTGCTAATGGTCCCAACATTCACACTTATTGACTGACTGACTAATAGAGAGCCAGAAACATTCACAGAACAGAATCGTTGTACCCAGTTTCACCATAGGGATGAACAGAGTAGTCACATATCCCATCTGACCCTCTATGAAAGACATGGAGACACACACGTACATACAGAGAGCAAGTTATGGAGTCAGAGTGTAGGACCAGCCAGTGTCAAGCACCCTTGGTGCAGTTAAGATTGATTTGATTACTGCCAACCGTGGGATTTGAACCCACAACCTTTCAGACACCGCTCTCCTATATGCTGATCTGCACGCTACACATTTGTATACAGTGTAAGGTTTTAGTGTCATGCTCTCTTTCTCTCTCTCTCTCACACAAACACACACGCACACAAAAGCTCCACCTTTCACAGTTTATGCAAACATACAAGTAAAAAAAGATCTCTGCAGCTATGCATATTCACCAGGTTCCTCTGTCCATGTTCCAGGAAATTGCTTTAAAAAGACACGCATGATTCATCGGAAAGGCAGTTCAGCATCACTGCTTCCTAGCAGCGCGGTCTTGGGGCTAGAGCCCATCTGACCGTCGTGCCTCCCCTGCCCAGCATGTGCTGGCTTAATGCGGAGCTTCTGCTTGGCACAGTCTATCACAGGCTCCTGCGTGCACACGCTCGCGGTCCACAAAGACCTGCATGCTCCAGCACAAAGCTCAGGGGCCAATTGGCAGCTTCAGTCCACCTCCTCTATGTTACCATTGTTCCTCAGGTGCTTTAAATGGCCTCTATCTGATTTACTATTCAGAAAGTTACCAGTGGGGAAACCACTTCAGGAATACAGGGGCAAGGCTATGTAATGGGGGGGGGGGGGGG